AGGAGATGATGAAGTGGTGAGGACAGGAGATGATGAAGTGGTGAGGACAGGAGCTGATGAAGTGGTTAGTCCTACAGCTCTTCACTCAGTTAAATGATTCCTCACCAACCTGAACAAACTAGAACCTCGTTGTTTCCGCACAGAGCCGTAAAGCACTTCATCTTGTTTACGACACCTGCTGAGTTGACTGACCTGAACTTCCTGTTTAACGAGCTGCACATCACGTGACATTAGTGTTGTTAAGTTCTAACAGCATCTGAGACACGTTCCCTTCACACACACAACGACTGAACATTAGTGTCCGGCTGCAGTGTCGCGGATTAACACGTTCAATTGTGTTTTTAAACAGTTGGGTGCAGTTAGCTTAGCAGTTAGCCTGTTAGCTTAGCAGCTAGCCTGTTAACTGACGTCAAGTTTGGCCCCCGGTGTCGGGACACGGAAGTTCGGCTCACTCACGTTTATACTCCGCCATGAGTCTCTTCAGCGCGGTTCCGGCCATCGAGTTTCACCGGAGACTCAAAGAAACCGAAATAAAAACACTCCGAGCTGCTCTGCGTCTCTTCCGCTCTGACTACTGCGCATGCTCCCAACTTCTTCATGGGCCTGTAGCGTCAACTGTCTGCATGAGTGCTGCCACCTGCTGGACCGAGGATCAACCTCCATGAGTCCTCATCCAACAATATTAAAGTTTCAATGATAAAGTTTCAATGATAAAGTTTCAATGATAAAGTTTCAATGATAAAGTTTCAATGATAAAGTTAGAATATTTAAGTTTCAAAGATAAAGTTTCCCACCTGCCTTGAGGAGAAGAGGATGTGAGTCTGGTCTTTCACAGACTGAAGATCAGGAAGGCACCAGGCCCAGACGGTGGGTCACCCTCCTGCCTGAAGGTCTGTGCAGACCAGCTGGAGAACATCTTCACTGGAGCTGTGTGAAGGCCCCTCCTGCTTCCAACACTCCACCATCATCCCAGTCAGAAATATCACAGGATTAAATGACTACAGGCCGTCGCCCTGACGTCTGTGGTCATGAAATCGTTTGAGAGACTGGTGTTGACCCACCTGAAGGACATCACCCCCCCCCCTGCTGGACCCTCTGCAGTTTGAACAGCACTACATGCTACAACACCTTGACTCCCCAGGGACATACGCAAGGTTCCGTTTGTGGAGGTCCTCTGACGTTCAACACCATCATAATGGAAATACTTTAACCCAAACTCTCCCAGCTCTCTGTGCCAGCCTCCACCTGTCAGTGGATCACCAACTTCCTGACAAACTGGAGGCAGCAGGTTAGGCTGCACTGTCATTCTTGTTGTGTTTTATGTTCATATATAAATACTTTTGCATATATATTTATATTCATACTTGTACAGAGTAGTTAAATGTTTATGTTTAATCTTGTTCTACTTTGTTGCCCTTGTGTTTTTGTCTATTTGTCTTTTCCTGTACTTTGGGAGCTCGTACATGTGTGTACATGTGTGTACTTGTGTGTACATGTTTGTACTTGTGTGTACACATACATGGCCAATGAAGCAGATTCAGATTGACTTCCTCCATTTTGTTCATTGGGTTGATTGTGTCATGCCCCTAGAGGCCAGGCACAGTACTGCTCACCTGTAGTGACTGTCACTGTTGTGTGTCTGTTCACCATGATGAAGACGTTAGTGTATTTTAAAGTCTTTGAATGCTTCGATCCCATTTAAATAAAGATCTTTTACATTTTTCTAACCTTTGAGTCCCTGGATTCTTCATGAGCCTAAGTTTTCTGACTGACTGAAGCAGTGAGATACTGAAGGAAAGTTAAAAACATGAAGTTCTTCAGTTTGTGAGATAAAGTCTCGTCTCTTCTGTTTTCATGTGAAACAGATGAAGAGCATTTTCATTACACTGCCTGAGTGAAGACACAAACCTCATCAAGCTCAGGTGCTTCAGTTTATTTCCCTCTGTCTTAAATATCCACATCATCAGTTCATTCACATGATTCAGATTCATTCATCACATTGTTTCCCATATTAATGTTATTATAGAAACACGTTTGATCTTTTTTTACAATTTAAAACATTCAGCTAATTTTGCATGATTTAAAGAAATACAATAAAAATAATACTGACATGTAATAATGACATGTGACATTGATATGTTAATGATTCATCTGATCTCAGGAAGACAAAATGAACATGAACTAAAAAAGAAGTTTAAAATCTTGAAAGGAACATTTCTTCACAGATGTGAATGATCAGCTGATCCAGATGTTGGTGGCTCAGCTGATCCTCAGCAGTCTCTTCAGGTGCGTGAGGATCTCCTTCACCTTCAGTCCATAGACCAGCGGGTTGCCCACGGTGGGAACAACTAACCCGAGCACGGAGCTGAGGATGGAGGCCGCGGGCTCGCCCTCGCCGTGCACGCGGCGCTGCAGCAGCTCGACCCCGACGCTCAATGAGTAGTTCATGAGGACGAGCAGGTGCGGCGCGCACGTTTTCAACGCTTTACTGCTGCTGCTCGTGCGCGAGCCGCGTAGACAGATATAGAGGATGCGACCGTAAGTGACGAGCACGAAGATGACGGGAGCGAGCATAGTGGCCGCGGAGCAGAGGAGGCCGTACACTTGCAGCAGCAGCGCGGCCCCGCCGCCGCAGCTCAGGCTGACGAAGCTGTACACGTCACAGTAAAGTCTGCGGAGCCGCGTGCGGCAGAGCGGCAGGCGCGCCGCCTGCAGCGCCGCGCCGCCCACCAGAGCGGCAGGAAGCAGAAAGCACAGCAGCAGCAGCGCCGCTAGCGCGGCACGTGACATGAGCGCGGCGTAGCGCAGCGGGCGGCAGATGGACACGTAGCGGTCCAGAGCCATGGCGGCCAGCAGCAGGAAGCTGCTCGAGCCCGCGGACCCCACCATGAAGGCCTGACCCACACACACCGGGCCCGGGACCTCCACCCGCCGCAGGCCCGACGCCAGGTCTGACAGCAGCCGCGGGTAGAGCGCCGCGCTGCCGCTGAGGGAGTTCAACAGAACCGCGGCCACGAGCACGAACATCGGCCTGTGGAGGCTGCGCTGAGAACAGATGACGTAGATCACGAGCACGTCACTGATCAGCACGAACACGTAGAGCGCGAAAAACACGAAGAAGAAGATCCAGCGGTGCTCAGACAGCTGCGCGAGGCCGTCCAGCGTCAGTGACGTCACAGCGGCCAGCGAGCTCGCGTTCGACATCATGGTGCAGTGCAGACAACAGAGTGACGTCAGAGTGTTCAACAGTGAAACATCAGAAGAAATAAAAGTGACAAAAAGAGTGAACACGTTCAAAACATGAGACACAACATGGGACACACGTGTTAGACGAAGAACATGTGTTGTTCATGTGTAGACGTTCTTCATCGTCTCTGCTTTTATCAGACTCTTCATCCTCAGTGGAGCTCATTAGCTCCTGTCAATCATCGCCTTCATCAACATGTTTGTATGTGAACATGAGAACACGTCACTCATGAACTCATTAACACGTATGTGACAGATTACATCAGTCAAATGTTTAATTGTTCCCATCATGATAAAATAAACATATTCATTTACTAACTCATGTAATGAATCTGTTTCTCACGGAGCCCGTCTGGTCACATGGGTGGAAAACAAACATTCCGTGGCCACGACGTGTTGAATGCGCGGGAACGAGATGATTATTAAGACGTGGCCACGAGAAATGTTTTCATTTCATCAGTGAGACGTTTGACCTCCTGGCATCAGTAGCTTCGGCCGCAAACATGGACAAGTTTGATCTGATGTCGTTTTATTTGAATCTAGGGATGAATTATAATGATAGTGGAACGACCCTGCTGTCCAGCTGGCTGTCTGTCTCTCGGCCAATCAGGGAAGAGTATGCGCGCCGTTGATTGGTGGGTGTGGCAAGGCCGGTGTGTGTGTGTGTGTGTGTGGGACGGAGGGCGAAAGGACCGCTGAGATACGTCTCTGTGTGCGGGAGTTCACAAAGTTTGTTCGTGGTAAAAGAACGAAAATAAATGTCCTGAAGACATAAATGTCCTGAAGACATAAATGTCCTGAAGACATCCCGCCCTGTCTCCTCATTACTTCTGCCGGCGTTACAATGTCCTGAAATCACTTGTGGTTAAACGGAGTCATTCTGAGCAAGAGACACTTAATTCAGCTGCTCAGAAAGCACGGCAGAAACCAGACGGGCTCCGAAGTTTATTGATCTGTTCAGTTATTTAAGTCAAACTGAAGAAACAATGAACAAATCAAACACACCCTCCTTCACTGCAGCTTCAACACAACTTCATGGGGGAGGAGGGTTAATGACCTATACTGCAGCCAGACACCAGGGGACGATGGAGACAATTCACTTTAGGACGCTGTCACGTCGTCCATCTTTATTCACAGGCTCTGGTTGAGTTTTTAAAAGTGAATGAGACATTAACGAGTTTGAGTCTGAACGTTCAACACACGGCTTTAGCCCCGCCCCCTCACCTGTAACGTTAAGCTTTAATAATGCAAACTATTTAAATCATTGATCTGTCATTAACCTTTAAATACAGTCTGAAGACAAACCATCGTGTGTCATTATTTTATACTTTACACGTGAATCTGTGGCTGTGTATTATAGTTAGTTTGATGGTTTCTATAACAAACCACAGATGTTATTTAAGAGCTGTCTCAGGGACAGCAGATGAAGGTTGACATGTCAGCTGAGCACTGTCCCGACAAACAGCATGTGGCTGTGTTGGTGGATCACAGTGACAAACTAATGCTAAACATGTGATGAGCATGAAGAGCAGTTTGTTGTGTTGTTCATTTGTGAGTCTTTCTGTCTCCCACCTCTATCAGAAGGTTCTGCTTAGAACCTTTCAGCCATGGTGTCCTCGTTCTCCTGCACTGAACCACAGGTACGAGGGGTCAGAGGTCACAGAGACGACCAGCTGTGATAAACAACATGGAGATGATGTCACCATGTTTGTCCTGAGACTGTTTGGACTAACGAGCTGCTCGTCTTAATGAGGCTGCTTAACGAGCTGATCTCAGGTGACCTCATTAATTAACTGACCAGCTGCTTCACCTGTTTACAAACTAGAGACTCTCTCTCACACACACACACACACACACACACACACACACAC